GATTGTTGTGGAGGACAGCCTGACCACCAGACACTGATGGCCGCCATACTGTGAGAGTTACTCCACCATCAACCTGAATTTACCTTTATCGCTGTAACAATTATATAACAGTTTAGCGGGACCATATATGTCAGGCCACACAGTTCTATAGTTTCAATTGCAGTTATGACAGTAATACGGTAGATTTAGATTTTAGATTGCCCCCGAGGGGGCTAGTTTATTGGGCACCCCCTCACATCCTGTGCAACGTGAAGCGCAGAAGCGTTTACAGCGCCCATGCATTAAGGGCGTAAAAGCCTGAAGGGTCATGGGTTTTGTCAGCAAGTTACATAAAGTGACAGAATGATGAGTGTGTGGGGGAAAATTCCCGGTACAATTTATCTGTTTATGGTAAAGTTTGGCAGGTCCCTAATAATGTCAAGTGCCAGGCCTGTCACTAGGAGGAGGAATATCTGGATACCTGGGTGAGTCATAGATTAGTCAGTGTTACAAACTTTGTTCTTTACTGCAATGAAGTAACTCGACTTATAGGTGACATAAACAAAAGAGTCTGGTTGATAATGTAGAAGATTTGAGTGTACTACAGTGAAATTGTTGACTTACTAGGCACGTGACCTCACAAGACGTAAACAAAGTTGTGTTGAGAATGATAATGAGTCTTGTCTCGGCCAAGATCCTCACGTCCCTCACTACACCCTCTGGCGGGTCTTAAGTAGAGAGAAGGGGTAGAGGGAGAGAAAGCTTGGTTGAATGTTGATGTTCAGTAGACATAACTAGAGAAGAGCGTCAGTCACTTTGAAGTAAATTACAGCTGAGGATTGCCAGATGTCGCTTTGGTATCCGAGTAACGCCAAACGTATTGCGTTGTATGAAGGTTTTGCTCACCCGCTCCTGAACCACCTTAGTGTTTGTGTTGTGTCTTTTACTGTTCCATAATACATATCGACTACTTTATAAGCCGTTGGTCACTTGATGGCGAGAAAATAAAAGGAGGTGGTGGACTGGCATCAAGAGTTCACTAGACGGCTGACGACGCCACTCTCAGAATGCGTTATGTCTACCCTAGTGGTCAGTGACGACGAATAACGACGTAAAGGATATTTGGTGGTTGCTTAAAGGTCGCCATAGCCTGGGCCAGCGACAGTTGATGATGTTTAGCTGTAAACAAGTAGGTCAACAAATGAGTACTTTATTCCGGGGCACGTTGGCAGGGTGGGGGGGAGATTCACTTGTCCCATACACAGCATAACACCGACCCATCCTCCTGGTGCTGCCATTTTGTACGTATTATTATTACTTTTTTTCTCTCTTTTTTTAATGTTCCTAAAATATATAGCTACAATTTCTTCTGTGCGATCTTAATTTAACGTTTATTATACTTCAACTAATGGGCTGGACTTACACCTGGAGACAATATTTTGGTAATTCAGCGATGATAATGTGATGTTGGTCGCAGCCATATACGGGAGCGTTCTATAGTCAACAGGTGACCACATTTACGATGAAACAGACCACAGGGTGACTAGTCAGATTTATAACATAAACAGGAAGGGGTTGCTGAGAATGCAACACAGCAGAGTGATATAATGATAAAGAATGAACAAGGTGCCAAAGTAGAGTTATTGAGGGACGTAGTTACTAGTAAAAAGTGGACCACACAAATGTAGGGTGAATGTAAAGATGCTCTCTCTCTCTCTCTCTCTCTCTCTCTCTCTCTCTCTCTCTCTCTCTCTCTCTCTCTCCTCATGTAGGAAGATGCCGGAGTTAGTAGTTGTTGATATGGGAGGAAGGAATCGCTTGTAGGTAGACGCCTGTCAGGGTAAGTTATAGCTATCTGTTAGAGTAGCTGACGTATAGGTGGTGGGGGGGGGGGAGGAGATACCCAACATGACCCAACCCAACATAACATAACAACATAACCAATCCTAACCAAACTTAACATACCTTACCCTACCCTATAATCTAACTCTCCCGTGTTACATTGGAATACTTAATAATCGGTTGAAATAAACTGTGAGTGTCTCCAAAATCTTCAGGTAATTCGAGTTGACAGACAGCCATCCATGTACTTGTATAGTGAAAATATAGTATGTACTGTATATCACTCCTGGCCCCAGAGGTAAAGTAGTGTATTAGTGCCAGGGTGAAACTATGTCTACTTTTACCTTTGTGCTGGTCTTTGGCTCATGTCACTATATTGTATTACCTCGGGCGTACCGTAAGGGGATATGGTTGATCTGCTTCAGTTTTTAAGACTTGGTTTATTGTACGTTTTGTTGGTGTTGTTGGTGTACAGAAAGCATGAGGGAGGGAGGGAAGGAGAGAGAGAGGGAGGGAAGGAGAGAGAGAGGGAGGGAAGGAGAGAGATAGAGGAAGGGGAGGAGAGAGAGAGGGGGAGGGAAGGAGAGAGAAAGCGAGAGAGAGGGAAGGAAGGAGGGCATTATTATGTTTGATTAGATAGAGTGAAGATTATGAACCCTGGCTTATTTTAGCTAATGATTTAAACGCTAATGTTATTTTCATCTAACATTACTTATAACTTAACCTAACCAAACCGAACCTCCAGGTAGTGCTAGGCTATTTAATCAAGTGAAATAAGCTGGGGTGTCTATTCTTCTGAAGGCAGGGTTGATCTTCTCTAGTAATAAATTAAGTCAATATGATGTATAGTAGAGTATAGGGGATATGCTTGGTCCAGTTAACAAGGCTTACGGTCAACTCTTGGCAAATAGAAAGAAAATATTGGGCTAGTTGCTATTTGTCAATGATATAATGTTGAATATTTAAAGTCAAAAGAAATGAATATCACTGTTATTACAACCCTGAGTTAATGGAGAATATAAATGAATTAGAATGAGATATTACACTGAAAATATGTTTTATAAGTACTCTTCGTTTATCGTAAGGGCTCCTCTAAAGATGAAGCGCATGACCGTTTCCCGTTTTCTATACGTCACATGTTACTTTTGGGTCACATGGTGTAGCTGAGGGTCGGTGACCGCCGGCCGTGGCACCCTGTTAATACCCCGGCATTGTTATGACCTCGTTAGAAATCCCGCAGATGCACCATCGAATGTTAATTTCCAGATGGCCGGAGGTTACACGTGGCGCCGCTGTGGCCGTTTACTGAACTAATGTATGGTGACAACTTGTTACTTTTGACGTCACTGTACTGATCTGTTTTGAAGACTTCCTGTGATGGTGGTGCATGGTAAGGGTAAGAATAGTGGTGATGATGATAGTGGAGAGGGTGGTGATGGTAAAGGTGGTGGATGTTAGCATAAGTTATATTTGTTGTTTACCCTGTAATGTATGAGCTGATTTAGTTCACAAGCTGAAAGACGGTAGTTATAATTGTAGCACAACAACAACAATTGCTGCTATGGTTAAAAAAAAGTCACTGTTGAATATAATATTTGTGACAATGTTTTATCTTGCAAGTTATACATCAGCTTAGGAGACGGGTACAGTGAGCTACAGCAGTCGTAGTTATGTAACATTACGCAAGTTGAGCCGTGCGGTATAGTACTCACCGCTTTGTTTCTCCCGTAGCCTATCAAGTTGTCTAGTGTGTGTTACGTTGGACTAAAGTACTGTAACTACTGTATATCATTGTAATGTATGGGTAAACGAAGATTCATAATATAATATAAGGAATAGTTGGAATCGTGGTACTCTTAGCCAAATTTAGACCATGGTTATGTTGACAATTGTTGTACTTTCCTCTAAAGATATTGTACCCTGTGGCCGCTATTGTCGTGCCCTAATTATTCGCTACCCTCTCTCTTTGTCGTTGAGTTTCATGCGATAGTCATCTTTATGTATATATTATATGATACTCTCGTTTGGGTTACATAAGACACCAGTGTGACAAAATTGTTGTGATGAAACTCAAGTTAAAGACCACACATACCACCCGTTTAGTAACTTTGTTTGCGCTGGCCCAATGACACGATGTCGTAGAGCGTCTCACATGCTATCGTATATAAGCATCACTGTCAACACCGGGGCCTCTGAAGTGTCAAGATAATCCCCAAGCATCTCTGACAGGCTTTTCGTTTCGAGACATGACAGATTAATTTGTGTTTAGTGCTCCATAAATGAAGTTTCATTAGAACTGTAAAATGTATAGTTACTTGGGGACGTAAGCATGGCGTTGCATAATTTAAAGTGAATATTATAATATGTGGACCGTTTTACCCCCTCTTCATACTAATTGACAATTCTATATGATCATCAAATCTTAAATCAGCGTAAATCATCTCACGTGCATAAAACTAGTTGTAACTTATGTTGGCTGAAGCTACGTTACATAAGGTGAAAGTTAGTGGCGGCGGCAGCTGCTGGTTCATGTGTTTTGACCCAACACTATTGACCGTACACGCACTTAAAAAACAGGACTCATATGGTGTTATAAATATACATGTGGACATCTTGTTAGAACTGTGAGACTTATGGACATCTCGTCACTATAATAGGACATGTGCACACTACAACGCCACGTGGCAGAAACCTTCATAATTTTAATGGTATGAGATAAATTTTAGCTTTTGGCCTGACAGGTGATGTATTGATGGCGGCAGTGTTGACTGTAATCCTGCGTATTACCTGGTGTTTAATAGTCACAAATTACACCGCCAGCAACCTTCTGCAGGAGTAGTGTGAGAGATGAGCCGCGCTGGGGAAGGACGACGACGAGCAAACACAACCCTGATTTATTGATTACTATGGTTGTTTGTATGAAAATCCACGTCTTGGGGAAGTTATCCTGCCGGAAGTCTCATCGAAGGAGTGGACGGCGTTCCTTAGGATTCGTGTCCACCTGTGTAGAATCCTTAAGCATCCCATCGTTAATCCCTTGCGAGCTCGGCGACTCTTGAGTTTATCTGGATGGTCCACACTCGCTGGTATCAGACGGAGTACCTGCTCTAAATGTACATGTTGAATGGCACTGTGTTATCCCCGGGAGGAGGTGGTATTGGAAGCCAGTTCTAGGCGCTATGGAGCATAAGGCTGATTCACCAGTGCCCATATGTGAGAATATGTGCTTAGTGGACCGCTTTGGTGGGCACTGTTTTCGCGGTGAGGTGAACCCAGAGTCATGTAAAAGAAGTGGAGAGCTTCATGCATACATACAGGAGTCGGGTCTCGCCCTGGCCCAACTGTCTTTTCGTCAGTATGGAGGCGACCCTTCCTGTTTACCATGACATCATAAGACGGGTGATCTCTCTCTCCTACGGGATATATGTTAGTTGAGGTGAGGGTGAGTAGCCAGTGCACGGTCATGTTGTATCACAGGTAAGGAGAATCAGACACCTGCTCACCTGACCTCTTCCTCATTCCAGGCAGAAGGATGCGGCAGATCGACAAGCGTGATTGAGCAGCCTTGTGTACTCTAGCTATTGATTACTAGTCCGGTGTAGTAGTAATGGCCAGGGTTCAAACACATAATAAGGTCGTCGACTCTCCATATTAAGTAATCCTTGTGACCCATCTACGCGCGTTTGTTATTCCCAGGACGGAGGACAATATGAGCTACGAGTCTTGTAGTGTTGCTCGGTAGACGGACCCGTGATGGAGGTTACCTTGTGGTGCTGGATTACTTCTTGTTTTGTTACGCTGTTCTCTCTTGATCTTTTCATTTACTTTATGAATTTGTTCTTTGTTTTGCTTTTGGTTTATTTTCTCATTGACCTTACTATTCTTAATCTTTCTCTCTCCCTTTCTCCCATTCTCTTTTAAACTCATCCCTTTTCACTCATATTTCCTTTGTTCTCCCTCACCCCACCCTCCTGTTCTCTCTTCCTCACCTATCCCTACGTGTTTTACTCCCCCTTTCCCCATTTTCCCCAACTCTCCCTATACCATTTTACCTTTTCTATTCCTTCCTACCCCTCCCTCCCGGTTGCTGTTTCTCCCTATCTCTCTCTCTATCTGCCTCACCCTGCTTTTCCCTACCTCTCCCTATCTCGCCTCTACCTTCTCCCTACCCACTCTGCCTTTCCCTCCCACTCCTTCTCACTCCCCCATTCCTCAACCGTTCAGGCAGTGTTCCCGGGAGTGGTCGGGCCGCTCTTGCGTGCTTCAGAGGTTCACTTAGCGTCACCATCCGTCTTGGTTACCTCACCACTCAACCCTCGGGCCCACATTCCCAAAAATCCCAACGTCAATTTATAGGTATATATTTTTTTAAACCCTGGAGTGAGAGAAAGCGTTACCGGAAACTCTAGCTTCTATTTCATGTTTTTTGTCTCTACGTTGGGAGAAGAAAACGCGAATGAAGAACTCCGATCTCTCTTTTTTTTTTCCTGGGAGGGGAGGGGAGGAGAAGAGGTGGGGAAAGGAAATAAAAAAAAAACACCTCTCGTTACGGTAGAGTCTCAGCGTAAATTCGACACCATTAGACCCGGAGCTGATAATGTTTTTTTTTTTTGTTTTTTTTTATCTCTCAGTCGCCCGAGGTTAATTGAGTCAACCATATGTATTGTCAAGTGAGTAGTTGTGGAGGAAAATGTAATGTTGAGTGTATTAAGCATCAAGGGCGAGGAACACTTAAGTCTATCTTCCGTTTTGAGTGTTACCTCCTGGCCCTTTTCCTCTCCTTCTCTCTCGTTTTAGTCATCTCTCCTTTATCTTTTTCTCCCTTTATATATATTTTATATTTCCTTCTATATCTTCACCCTTGTTTTTCTTTGGCCTCTCGCTATCTGTTTCCTGTCGTGCTCTCGTGCTATTGAAAAACTGAATTTTTGAGTTGCGAATCAGTCATGAATTTACAGAATATATATATATATATTTTCTTGGGGGTGAGACATTTTTCGAGTAGAACTTAGGTTGGTGGGTGTTAGTGTTGGTGCCTGTAGGTGATGGTGGTAGTGATGATGGTGATAGTAGTGGTGTTAATGGTTGTCATAGTCGTGTTCCCCCCCCCCTCCTTCACCCCACCGTTGTTCCTAGTCCGCGCCTCATTGTGATGGCCACCACGGCTCCTCTTACTGCTCACTAGAATCACCAAACTTCTGAGATGAGAGGAATAGATAAAAAAGGAAAGCTTTTTTACAGGCTGTTAAATCAAGCAGAGAAAGCGCGTAGAGAGGGGGATGAGACGGAGAGAGGGAGGGATTAGGTCTCTGTTTCACTTGTCGTCTTGATCCTTCCTGAGGTCATGATTATGTTCAACCAGACAAAGTTTAGTGAAATTATGGAGTTGTTTTTGCATAATGTTTCGTATAGTTGTCATTAGTAGTAGGTGTTTGTTTATGTGTATAGTAGTGTGTGTGTGTGTGTGTGTGTGTGTGTGTGTGTGTGTGTGTGTGTGTGTAGGAGTTATATTGATGGCTCAGAAATAGCCACTATCGAGTCCTGATTTGACGTCATCATCGTCATCAACTTTCACAGGTATCGGGAAGAAGTGTTTGTGGTAATGGTAAACACGCCTCCCACCACCACCACACGCCCCCACCAGCACCACACGCCTTCCCCACCACCACCACCACCACACGCCTCCCACCACCATCACCACCACACACGCCTCCCACCACCAGTAAACTCCTCCCCCACCACCAGCAAACCCCTCCCCACCACCAGCAAACCCTCCCCACCACCAGCACACCCCCGACCATCACCACACGCCTTCCCACCAGCACACGCCTCCCCACCAGCACGCCTCCCCACCACCACACGCCCCCACCCCAGCACACGCCCCCACCAACACACGCCTCCCCACCAGCACACGCCTCTCCCACCACAGCACACGCCCACCAGCACACACACGCTCCCCACCAGCACACGCCTCCCCACCAGCACACGCCTCCCCACCAGCACACACCTCCCCACCACCACACGGCTCCCCCCACGTTCTCGCTCACGTGAGTACACTTACCAGTGCTGTAGGTCCAAGGTGTCAGCACGACGAGGCCAGTACAGGTGGAGAGCCTTGTCACAATACACTCGTGGGTACTCCTCCCTCAGCAGCTGCAACATTATTTATAACTCCTGAACACGAGCCGGGTAAAATTCATCTAATTGGGAAGGTTCGTCTCGTTTATTGTGTGTGTGTGTATATATGTGTGTGTGTGTGTGTGTGTGTGTGTGTGTGTGTGTGTGTGTGTGTGATTTCTTTTAATAGCCTAAAGTCAAAATAAAGTGTACTCCTAATTTTCAGTCAGTTGTTGAGTCGATGACCTTTCATTTCAATACAGAATATGACGGGCAGAAATGAGTCAGTGTTTCGAGGAATGATTTGGTGTTAGTGGTCGTTCACCAACACAAGAGCCAGAGTGATTGAGACGACCAGGTGTTTTGTGCACCCCCCTCCCTCCCTTCCTCCCTGTGTTGTGACCTTGTACACGACACTTGATAATGATGACTGACGTCGTAATGACCGCCTGTATATGTTGTGTTATCTATAGATTTTGTTCTTTCTCCTATAGTTTGTGCCACACATAGATGTTTTTTCTTTCTTGTAAATGTTGTGCTAAACATCGATTATTTTTCTCTCTTTCAGTCGATCTTCAACAAGGGAGCAGCGAGCAGGAGGGCGAGGAGTGTGAAGAGGACGAAGGGGAGGGCAACGCTCACACGCCACCGCACGACCCCGGCAGCCCTCATACCCGCTACCCCTACAGCAGACCTCCGCACAACCAGTACCCTCCCTATTTTCCACGACGGGGCGGCCACCACCACGGCTACTACTACAGAAACTTCGACAAGAGGTTCGACAGGCGCGGAGGCTTCGACAGGTACAACAACGAAAACTTGAGGACCTTCGAGGACAGAGGACCGTACCCGAAGCCTCCATTCTACGAGAGACAGTACTTCTACGATAACAAGTACTACGGGCGGCCCCCTTATTGCGGCGACCGTAATTTTAAGTTCGGCTATGTTGAGCGAGGTCGACGACCCTTCAGGCCGTATGGACGGCCCGGGTTCTTCCCCAGGGGGTTTCCGGGGCCCTATCCTGATGGAGGGTACCCAATGGACGGTAGTGGGTGCGGGGGCCAAGAGGAGGACGAGGAGGAGGAGGAGTGGGAGGAGATCCCTACGGAGGAACAACACAACGGGAGTGAGGGTGGTGAGAGACCCTCCCAGCCCGTCCACACCGTCATGATCAACAATGGTGAGTGGTCATAATGGCTGCCTCTACAACAACAATAAATTGTAATAAAATATGACACCCTTTATCCCCTCGTCTTGAAGAGTGAGTGAGTGTGTAATAATAATAATAATATGTATATAATAATAATAATAATAATAATAATTAACGGTTTATTGAAAGAGCTTGGCAGCCAGAAGGCTGAAAATATACAGTTACATATTTGGGGAATGGGTTACGAATTACAAATAATATACAAGTGACATAAGTGACACAAATAAGACATATAATAACTTAGATGGGGATCAGCTCAAACTACAGTTCATTTCAACATAGTGACAGTGTAGGGAGCAGTGTTTACCAGGAGTGTGTGTGTGTGTGTGTGTGTGTGTGTGTGTGTGTGTGTGTGTGTGTGTGTGTGTGTGTGTGTGTGTGTGTGTGTGTGTGTGTGTGTGTGTGTGTGTGTGTGTGCACTTGTTTACAAACAAAGGAAGGCAACGTGAACCACGTGTGTTTGTTTACCAACAGAAGAATACACCAAGATCCAGACGCCGCGTCAGGAGGTGATCTTCAAGAAGAGCTCGTTGGACCGCAAGCAGGACTCCCTCGACCAAGGTTCCGTCACCGGCTCCATGACCTCCGGGAGCGGCTCCTGCAGCACCGGCGGCGACGGTCCTGCCAGCGCCGGGGGGAGCGGAGACCTGGTGAGTGTGCTGTGGGGTGTTAGGGGCACCAGATGAGTGTGTTAAAGTGTTAGAGGCACCAGAGGAGTGTTAAAGGCACCAGAGGAGTGATTTAAAGTGTTAGAGGCACCGGGTGAGTGTGTTAGTGTTATAGGCACCATATGAGTGTGTTAAAGTGTTAGATGCACCAGATAAGTGTGTGAGAGGCATCAGGTGAGTGTGTTAAAGTGTTAGAGGCACCAGATGAGTGTGTTAAAGTGTTAGAGGCACCAGGTGAGTGTGTTAAAGTGTTAGATACACCAGATAAGTGTGTGAGAGGCATCAGGTGAGTGTGTTAAAGTGTTAGAGGCACCAGATGAGTGTGTTAAAGTGTTAGAGGCACCAGGTGAGTGTGTTAAAGTGTTAGAGGCACGAGATAAGTGTGTTAGAGGCATCAGGTGCGTTTTAATACGTTTGTTGTCGCCATTTCTTCACACGATTGTTGTTGTTGTTGCAGCTGGCAGGGGACCAGGTGTCGCTGTCTGGCTCTATGGAAGACAACTCCCTGTCTGTAGGTGGCGACGACCCGTCAGACATGCCCAGCCACCACGACCACCACGACCAAGTCTTCGAAGGTAGGTCATGTCGTTTTCCTCCCTCGTCGCTTGTTGGGTTATGACATGTATCGGGCCAAAATCCGGGAACAAAACGAAGGGTCATGAAATAATACGTTAAAAGTCCCAAAATAAGAGGCAGAAGTGCAAAAATAATCTATGGGAAAAAATAAGACTTAATTCCAAGAATAATAACACAAAAGACCAAAGACAATAAGACAAACAAGTCCAACAGTAATAAAGGAAATGTCCAGTGTTGGCAGAGTTTCAAGTCCAGCTGGTCGACCCCGGTAGTCCCAATGTCATTTGTCGTGAGAGAGAAAAAACACATTTAATCTTTTTCATTTCTCATTTTTAATTTTTCCCGTGTGTGTGTGTGTGTGTGTGTGTGTGTGTGTGTGTGTGTGTTAGTGAGATGTGGTGACACCTCCCTGGCTTTTGGGTGAGTGGGTGGGATGTGCTGTGTCGATGTAGGAGACTGGAAGAATGTGCTTTTCCTTATCCTTTCCTCCTCCCTTCCCTTTCACCTCTCCCTCATCCATCACCTTTTCCTCCTTACTCCTTCCTCACCTCACCATTTCCCCTCCACCCTCCTTCCTCATTCCTTTCCCTTCCAGACAGTATGCAAATGAGGGCGTGAGCGGAGGTAACAAGATAAGGCGGAGACACAGACACTGATGATGATGAGAGAGAGAGAGAGAACAGCCATGGATAAAGTTTATGGGTAATGGCGCTCACCAAAAACTGGACGAGTTTTGAATTCATGGGTCACTTAGAATGGGCGAACAGGTCCAATGGGTCACTAAAATGGGTGAGAGACTGAATGAGGTTATGAAGACCCTGGGATTGGCTGATATCTATGGACGCTGACGAAGGACCTTGTTCTGCTCAGGGCTATACACGGCTATCCAGGCCTACGAGGGGAAATTTGTCTGGTCGTGAAGGCCCGAGGGGAGTCTTATTTCCCAGGGAATGAGGGGATAATAATGAGAGGGATGACGGAGCAATTTGGAGGATAGGGGCTGGGAGGGAGGGATGGTGGGGGGGGGGACCGAGATTTGAGCTTCTTGCAGACTGATAATGGAGAGAGACCGGCAGGGATAAACTCACTTATTACCCCCTAAAACACGACAAGGCAAGAAATAAACAAACTCCCGGGTAACCGTTGAGACCGTTAGTGCTGAATGTTTCAAATTCAAAATACTGATCGATGACGGGAGGCGGAATGAACGTACGGAGGGGCTGTGATTGGCTGCCGAACATCGAGCTTACCATCCGTGAAATTGGACAGCGAATCAGGGCGCGAAATCTCACAAAGAATAGTATGTGTTTTTGTTTTTGTTTTTAAGTTCTGATGGAAAATATGTCTCACTGGGTCACTCCACCATCGTTACAAACAAAACATATTGTCAAAATTGCCTCTAAATTGTCCCTCGATTAGAACTTTGCATTAGTTAGGGAAATGATAACGAATCTTTGAGAATCGATGCCCGGGAGTTTTTCACGGTCCACCGATTGAATACAAGAAAAAAGATCGGCAACTCTGGCATCGGGATGAGGAAGTATTGTATATAATAGTCAACATAGTAGTGTGTAGGCCTAAGTTGGGGAGGGGGGAGAGGTGCGGCTGTGAGGTAGACTATAAACCTCCCGAGCGTGGTTTAAGTGTTCTAACTGTACATACCCGCACATGTACAGTCACCCAAAGAAGTCCTGTCGCGAACCATGAACCCCGAGATTCAGACTCTTGAATCCGAAGCATTTATGGACAGAATAATTTATCAGTGTCTACTGCTTCGGGTTCACGAGTCTGAATCGTGGTTCGCGACAGGACTTTTTTGGGTGACTGTACACGAGAATAGGGCGTAGTTGACCGGCCGTCGTATTTTTATTTTATTTATATATTTTTTTACGGGGATTAGCCCACCCGGGCACAGGTCACTAACCCACATCGGGGCCTGGGGGGCGAAAATGTAATAATAATAATGACAATAATAATAACAATAAAAATAAAAATAATAATAATAATAATAATAATAATAATAATAATAATAATAATAATAATAATAAAGAACCATGAAGAAAAAAAAAAAGATCAAAAGTGAGAAACAATATATGTATATGTTGTTTGTCAATAGTAAGAGAAACAATTGTGTGTAAATGAGGAAGAAAGTCAGATCAACAACCTGGGACTTGGTCATAATTTTCGTGATGTCATATGGCAGCAGGGTCTACCATTAGACAACACATTATGCTTCCAATATCTTCCCAGGCGGTAGTACCTCCCTGTTTGGTAACTGCCTAATACCTACTATCTATAGTGAGTATTATGAAAAACCTTGATAATAAGTCTCTGTGCTTAAGGTTATTCACTAGTCTTACCTCAGGGATACTAGTCAGGCATCGTTGGCATCGTTTAGCTAGCGTTGAGGAGATCAGTTAACGAGCAGGAGATACGAGATGTTTAAAAGTGTTGCTGACGCCAATATTCTCGTAGTGCTAAAGGGTACAAGACCTAAACGCCATTATCCGGGTGCTTGTATAGGCTCCACTCAACCAAGACATGACGCCATTATCCAAGTAGGAGGCGTTGTGTTGGCGCCATTCAACCAAGATCCGCTGGGCTGTGTTCGTCGGGTTTATTTTTATCGTTTTTTTTATGAAAGGAATTTTAACGTGGCAGCTGTCAATCGAGTCTTGAGATGACCTCACTTAAAACTCTTTCAGGGAAGCCGTTGTTTATTCTGTGCAGGTGTAAGATACTTGATACAGATACAGGTGTAGGGACGTAGTTCAAATATAGAGCCACGTACTACAGGTTTGGGATACGTGGTGCAGGTGTAGGGCCCGTAATACAGGTGTAGGATGCATGGTACAGGGGGTAGGGTACGCGGTACAGGTGTGGGTGTACCGCTCCAGCCAACCATCCACCGCCACGCTTCAGAAAGGTCATCGCTAGATACTGCTTTTGTCGATCAATGTTGTGAGGTCTTTGTCTGGTGTTGTGTTATATGTTGTGGTGCTGTGTTATATGTTGTTGAGTTGTGTTATATATTGTTCTGTGGTGTGTTATATTTGTTGTGTTGTGTTATTATGGCGTTATTGTTGCTGTGTTGTGTTATATATTGTTCTGTGTGGTGTTATATGTTGCTATGTTGTGTAATGTTGTGTTATATTGTGCACTGTTATGCTCATTTGTGTTATAATGTGCTTTGTTGTGTGTGTATTCCTCCGCCTGGTCTTATGGAGTGTGAAGTAGTGCGTGTTTTGATAATAAATAATTACTAAGCGTCTTTTTCTACTAATATCTAACTAATTTTTTTAAGTATTTAGAAGATGGGAGGACTTTATTATTATTATCATTATTATTATTATCATTATTATTATTATTATTATTATCATTATTGTTATTATTATTATGCGACAGTAGGGACACCATGTTTATTATTGCTAATGTTATCTTAGTTATTATTCGTTTGTTATTTTGTATTATATGTGTATCATTTTGTTGTTATTATTAGTCTTTTTATGAAACATTATAATATAGATTGTATGCGAGATATGTTGCCATCAGAGCGTCTTTGTTTTTTCATTGATCTCCGAGGCTTTTGACACCCCCCATCCCCACTCTCCCTTCAACCTCAGCTGTTCAATGTAAGCAAAAGCCGCTTCTCTCTCTCTCTCTCTCTCTCTCTCTCTCTCTCTCTCTCTCAGCTGTCGTCATTGGAGACAAACTCAGGGATTGTCTTGAGTCAACACAGAAAGAGGAAGACTTGTCGGGCTGTCTGTTTCAATACTTTTACTCACCGTGAGAAAGAGAGGGAGGAAGAAATAGAGAGAGGGAGGACGAAAACTAGAGAAGGGGGAAGAAAGACAATTAAAAAAGAAGAAAAATAGAAGGGAGAGAAGGAAAAATAAAGAAAATAGGATTAGAAAGAAAGAGGAATTTGAGAAAGGACAGATATGGAGAGAGAAAATGATATAGAAAGAAAGACGGAGGTAGGAAGTAGGAGAAGGGAAAGAAGAGGAAGAAGTTTGAAGGGTAAGAACGTATGGGAGATGAAGAGAAAGAGAGATAGAAAGAGAGAGAGAGAGAGAGAGATGACATTTACCTCCAAGATATTCCTTCTCTTTCATCAGTCATATACGTATCTGTCTGCTCTCGGTTCCCATATGTCTGTCTGTCTGTCAGTCATCTGTCTATTAGTGCTCAGTTAATCGTATATTTGTATTTGTTTGTTATTGTTGTCTCTTGTGTCTCGTGAACACTGAGAAAACATGACACATCTCTCTCTCTCTCTCTCTCTCTCTCTCTCTCTAAACCTAACCTAAGCCAGGAGTTGGATATGAAATCTTTCGTCTGGTTATTATTATTATTTAGTATCCGATATCTGGTTGAGAATCTGGGCAGACTTAATTCCGCCAGCGTTGATTTATTGAAGGGACAGGTAGTGAACTAATTAAGATTCCTCTAATTTATTGCAAAGACTTCAGGTAGGATGAAGTATGACTGTATGAAGCTCTGGCAGGATGGAGGATGACACACACACACACACACACACACACACACACACACACACACACACACACACACACACAGTAACCAAGGGTAGATGGGTGGTCAGGAAAATAAATCTCGCTCTGGTAAATGAGAGAGAGAGAGAGACTTTACCAGGCTTAACCATACTCACACACTCACCATACTCACAGATACTCACCATTATGTGTTAAGTAAGTCACTGTAACAGTCACTTACCATACTTACAGTCACTCACCATACTCAGTCACTCACCATACTCACAGATACTCACCATACTCACAATCACTCACCATACACACAGACACTCACCATACTCACAGACACTCACCATACTCACAGCCACTCACCATACTCACAATCACTCACCATACACACAGTCGCTCCAGTGTGACTCAGACTTATACAGACTAAAGTTAACTACATGTATTAACATATTCAACTTATTTAACTTTACTAACTTCAGCTATCTCACATGTGACTTAGCTGAATAATACTGAAAGTTAATGAGACTAATGTTAAAGCTCGCTCTCTCTCTCTCTCTCTCTCTCTCTCTCTCTCTCTCTCTCTCTCTCTCTCTCTCTCTCTCTCGTTTTATGTTTATTAATGCACTTACTTCTCTTGGTCAACTATTGTTATATTATCTCATTGCAGGACCCAAGAGGTAGTACCAGGGTTGAGAGTACCTGAAATGATATGCAGCATTAGGGTGGGGTGGGATGGAGGGTGAGAGGGTTCTGTTGCCGGGGTGGGTGCTGGAGCTACTGGCAAAATAGCGATGGTGGGGGTGGAGAGGGTGGGGGGGTCGTGACAGTGACACATGGAAGTAGAGAGAGTTCTTGGGACTACGTGGAGGAGTTGAAGGGAGAGAGGGAGGGAGGGAGGGAGGGGGTTGGTCTTGGAATGGCGTTGAAGGAAAGGAGAGTTTATTGAAAGACTAGAAAAATAAATATATAAAAAATGAGGGAAGTTTAGTGATGAAGGAATGTATCAAGGAGAGAGGAGGAAAAACTTGGTGTATAGAGTGAAGGAAGGAATGGAGAGATCCTATAAGACGCGCGGACGAAATGATTCGTTGAAAGACAAATGCCATCAAAGGTTCCCAGAAATGTCGAAAAAAAAATGTTCGGGAAAAGTCACAGACGACGTGTACACATATTTACGTGCGTAGTTACTGTGGTAAGAAGTTGGCCTTTGTAGTTTGATGATCTACCTTGTGAAGACAGTTTGGATTGTTTGAATTCTTGATGAGCGTCGACAATGATGACGTGGCACTCTTAGTGGTGCCAGAAGTGGAAATGACAACACAGGGATGGAATGAGTATTTCAGCCAAGACCTGTGTTATGTCACTCGACTCCAGTGAGGAGGAGGAGGAGGGGGGGGGATGGGAGCAGGGAGACAGGGGCGAAGAGAGAAAGAGGACGAGGGAAGGGAGAGGAGCGTGGGAGGAAAGGAAGAAGGGTAGAATCATGGCGAAGAAACTTACTCAAGAGCCGCGGGTGGAGACGAGAAGTTAAAGGCTGTAACAAGTCGTGATGGCTACGAGTGGAGACTTGTTCGAGGCGTAACATGACACCTCGAGGGAGTAAGTCAGGGAGTGACACTCGAACTGTATTGTGGGTGGAGTCAGGGTGACAGAGGCTCAGGTGAGGAAGAAATAAACTCAAAATTCTTAGTAGAGGTTTAGTGGTGCTGTTGGGGCAGCACCTTGTCTTGATCACGTGACCGCAGCCGCCCTCGAGAGAGTTTCTCTCTCTCTTTATATATATATATATATATATATATATATATATATATATATATATATATATATATATATATATATATATATATATATATATATATATATATATATATATCCAGTGTATAAACACACAAATGTTTCTCTCCGTCCCCACATGATCAGCACCCAGGCCGCCACTCTCACTGGCAACTTCCGAGGTTAAACCCACCATCGGGCCTTTAAAACCCTCCAAGCCCGGAATTTGATGGCATTATTCGGCGCGGCAGCTGTGCGTGGGTGTATGGTTGGCCCTGACCATGGCAATAAGGGCGGCGTTAAGGCCACACGTGAGAAGAATAGTCCACTCGGTCCTGAGCCCTGACGCAGAGCACTACATAGTGTTCCCGCCAAATGTTTATTTCACGAGCCAACAGCCCTGACACCTGGCGACCACTGGCACTGTCACTGAAAATACTGTACAGCGGGACTATAAAACCTCAGTTTTGACAACTAGATTACTTGAAAGTGTCAAACATTGTTTTAGTCTTAGTCGATGTTTATGTTTTTATTTATTATCACTAAGAACAACATTTGTTTACCACTATCCACCTCTTGGTCTCTGGGTGTTCATTTGGAAGTACCTCGGAGGCTACTCTGGCCCACCATCATGGCTGCTGAATATCACAATGTCCTTCACCAAATACTTCCCGCCTTGAACCTCTCCCAGAATGTAGCGCGACTTACTTATGGCTCCTCTTAACCTCCAGTATATGTATATTGTGTATCTTCAACTCTACTTGTTGACTTGATGCACTTTTCCCTGTAACTTACACTGACCAAAACTCTTCATCTGACTTTCGTCAGCGCGACCTCTCCTGACATAGTTCTCGTTCATATGACCCCACTTGACCTCGTATTTACTCTCTGCTACCTTATCCATAATTATGCTCTATTGGCCAACTTGTCACTCCTATAACTCTACGGGTTTCACATGACTTGTGTTCGCCTCGCCTTTTCGTCTGTTGAAAGTCTTCAGGATAACTCGTGCTCGCCTCCTGTCCCTTGGGAGCTGTGCCCTGACACCCCCAGTTCACCCATCTGTGATTGGGTACCTAACTGTACAGTTAATAAAGTGAAGACGATCAAGTGCAGTGCCGGCCATGGTGTCTCATTATATATCTAAAAAATAAAAAAACAATAAAAACAATAAAAAAATAACTAAAAAAGAAAACAAAAAATACACTGCTTCATCCGCACTGACCATCAAGGGACCCACTTTCATTTACACACATAAAATATATACATTTCATTTTCCTAAATGTGTACACGGTAGTTGGTCTGTCAGATTTGAGAATGTTTTATATGTCTTCCTGAACGTCACCTAAGACGTTTTCATCAGGAAGGTAAACAAACAAATGTGACTAACAGACAGGTGGTGTGTTTGTCATCTAAATTGAAGAATTAAGGGACGGAAACGTAAACACAGTGACAGAAGAAAGCGGTCATAAAGGAAGTGATCTTAGACATTCAAACAGGATTTAACAGCTGTGCATAACACGAAAGGCAGGAATGTCGGGCTTAAGACAGAATAGAAAGAAGCGAATAACAGGGAAGGTGAGACCACAAACAACTGATAAACAAAAATATTACCAGGGAAGGCAAAAACAGGGAGAAAGAAAACAAACAAAAGAATTATGCACGATGACACCAACATAGGACTCTGGCCACAGGGGTCCATCTGTGTGGCGCAGGTGGGTTCATAAGCACCTGCCGGCGGGAAGAATACGCGCGCTTTTGTATCTTCCCGTCCCCAGTGAACCGGATTTCGGGGAATAGAGGAAGGTCTCCCTCGTCTTTACGGCACTCAGGAGACAGGGGTGGAGGAGAAGAATGAAGTCTGGTGAAGATCGATGTGGGGAGCAAAAATTTAAGATCGATGTTGTGAGGAAGAGACGTTCTTGGTGCTGGCTGGTGAAGATCGATGTGGGGAGCAAAAATTTAAGATCGTTGGCTGGATGTTGTGAGGAAGAGACGTTCTTGGTGCTGGCCGCCTGATGACCCCGTGTGTTTATTGGTCATACTCGCACTCCTAAGAGGGAAGAGCTTGACGTATCCACACAAAGAAGCCATTTAATCAGTGTGTACAGGGGCAGTTGATTCATTAGCTGGAACACTTGATCTTCAGAGGGACAGCCTGCCAGTTAGTCCATGCACAAGACGCGACTAATATATACCAGTCACTATTAAGTTGGCTGTCATTCTCTAGACACCCGTTAAAGTATCAACACAGTGACCCGGCCACTTCAAGGACTAGTTCAAGGACGCTAGTCACAATTGTACAATTACGTAAAGCTAAGTATTGTAGGTCTGTTACGTAAGGATCTTTGAGTGGGAACCTCGTTGTAATGAGCGGATTTTGTTTTCAGTATCAAATATTGTTGAATATTCTTGATATAAAATTCCTACATAGATATTTATAAACCTGAATAATACTGTTGCATAAATGTGACTTTTCAAGTTTATTATGAAGACATGTTTATGCAAGATTTGACTTGCCAATGTAGTTGTTGCCAAGCAGGTCTTGAGTGTTGTTACCCAGACGTAAACACATCCCTCTTGTCAGACGAGCAGTAAGTTCATGTATTAACATACCTGCCCTGACACAGGTGTATTAGTTGTAAACCGTGTTGTTGTTATCACCTGAAGTATGTGCCTCCCTGCAGACCCCAGCGAGATGTTCGTGAGTGACGGCGGAGGACCCCCCTTGGCGGGTGTAGTGATGCAGCAGGCGTACCCGGGAGGCCCCATGTTCACCATTCCAGTGCACTGGACGCCCTTCATCGACCCCGGCCTTATCCCCGGGGAGACGGCCCTCACCCCACTTGACCCAGCCTTCACCCACGTCATTGACCCCAAGTCTCTGCCCATCGACCCAGTACACATTCTGCCCGTCCAGCACGATGCCACAGGCTGCCCCGTCCAGGTCCAGGTAAGACACCTTCCCGCGCCCCACTGTACTGTAGTTCCTGGCTGAGGTCACACAAATCCACGAAGATCCTCCCGTAAGTTCCAGCCGGGGCGAGACAAGTACCCCTCAAGGCCATCTTGTGCTGTACTCGTATGTCTACAACAGAGTAAGTTGCTCCTGATAGACGCCGTGTAAGTCAGGGTGAAAGTGAAAACTGACCCAACACCTTCCTGTAAGTGCAGGAAGTGCGGGTTCAGATACCAGTCCTGTAGGTTCAAGTTCAGGCCTCCTGAGTTCCCTCCTCAAGTATATTTCTGTGTCTGTCTCTGTGTCTAGGTTCGGTATTATCGCCACCCTACCTTTATACACTACCATGATGGTTGTAAGAGCCTCCCTCACGAGTTAGATGAACCCTGCCTGTGGGGACCCATACTCGTACAGCCCCCCCCCCCCTTAAAGGCCTTAACAAGCGGAACTTAGATCATTGACTCATGACCTGCCATCCTTTTGTTCTCTCTCGATTCATGGTGTCCTTGCTATAAATAACTTAATAATTAGTACAGGTGTGTTTGTGACGCCGCGGCAGGTCGTGGTGCACCGCCCACCAGTCCTGCCTCGTTGTGGCCGGCGTTCATGATCCCGCCCACCTTCTGATAATCCCCGGCTGATTTTCTCAGAGGCCTTTGTAGCTAGACTGGCGGCTGTTGCATAGTTTGACAGACGTGTGTATGATTCGTAGAGTTTGTCTATGTAAATAAATGAATTAAAAGACATTAAGTTCATACTTGTTAATTATGTAAGTAAATTACTTACAGACTAATCATGACCACAAATAAATCTTTAATATGCAGGACAACAACATATTATTTTTATGACACTGTGTTCTGTATTCTGTAGGTCAAGGTTGACTCCAACGGCGTGCCTATCCAGATCGAGCCGAGCGCCTTCACCGTGTCGCTGAGTACCCTCCAGCAAACGCACCCGGAGACCACAGACCAAGATGACACAACACCTCGGGATGGAGTCTCGCAGAAGGAACGCAGATCGAAACGACAAAAGCATAAGAATGTATCTGTGGTGAATACTGACGATCAGGAGACGGACACGATAGAAAAAGTGAAAGAAAAAGAAGGAGAAAGTATAGAGAATAAAGAAAAGGTTGAAGAGCTGCAACAAGACGCTCAGCAGCTCGAGAGGGAAAATAGTGAACACGAGGATAACAAAGACGTGGCTCCGACGGGTGTGGAAACAGAACACCAACTGACTACCTCAGCCGATGACGTGGTGAGTACCGTGTCATCCCCCACTGGTGTGGACGAGGACATGGTGCCTGCCGTGTCCTCCCCTTCTGTTATCGACGAGGACAGAGTGTCTGCCGTGTCCTCCCCTTCTGTTATCGACGAGGACATGGTGCCTGCCGTGTCCTCCTCTTCTGTTATCGACGAGGACATGGTGCCTGCCGTGTCCTCCCCTTGTGTTATCGACGAGGACAGGGTGCCTGCCGTGTCCTCCTCTTCTGTTATTAACGAGGACATGGTGCCTGCCGTGTCCTCCCCTTGTGTTATCGACGAGGACAGGGTGCCTGCCGTGTCCTCCGACACTGCCATGGACGAGGACATGGTGCCTGCCTTGTCTTCCGACGCTGCCGTGGACGATGTCAAGGTGTCTTCCCCTACTTCTGAGGACGCTAAGGCAGGAGGACCTAGTGCGGAGGTGGTGATGGAAGTAGTGATGGAGGTGGAGTCAGTGGAAGGTGTAGTGGATCAACTGGAAAACGTGCAGGTGGTGAAGGGAGGAGTGGCAACAACAGTGTCACAAGAACCTCACAGTGAAGTGTTGGTAAAAGTCAGTGAGAAGGAGACTGGGTCGTTGTCTAGTGCAGTGCCGCAGGAGAGGACTTCCCCTGCGGCAGGCACACACTGCCAGAACCAGGTAGTGGTGGTCCAGACCATAGAGGAGGACGACGAGGAGGAAGAGGAAGAAGAGGAGGAGGAAGATATGCTGACCAAGGAGTCTGAAGAATGTTCAGACTCCAGTGACTCACAGGTAGGTAGTATCGTCTTGCTTCATTGTTTATGTAGTAATATTTGTCTCCACTTCGTAGTTTAGTTGTAAAATGTTTATTTGTTTAGTCATTTTGTGTGACAGTAGAGCTACTGTATGTTTCATGTTAGTTATGATAGCGTTAGTTTGCAGTTTCCTTTCTTCCTTTAACACCACAAACTTGTACCAGCCTTCTTCTTGTTCTCCTTTCATAAGCTGGAGTTTCATCCCCAGCTTAGAAGAGGTAAAACAAGTGGTCCCGTAGGCCCCTGGGTGTGTATACACATACACATTACACTGAACTGTCTTCGGTGGCCGGCACTTCACTTGACCACCTTCACTTCCCCAACTCTAAAGTTAGGTACCCTTTCACAGGTCGGAGGATTGGGTATGCCCCGAGGTCTACTATCTGGGCTCAGTTGTTCCAGTAATATTTTCGGGGTGATAACTTACGACAACTTTTTACAAGTCTTTGGATCGTTCCTTCTAAAAATCACACATAGTTCAGTGATTGTCTTAGTCAGCTCCCATCATGTGCATTAAAACAAACGCTTTAGTGAGATCATGAGAAAAAATTAATAATAAACTTAAATGTTTTCTTTACCATAGATGCTTGATCTTATGTCTGACCAAACCCCCTCCTCCTCCTCCTCCTCCTCCTCCTCATTATCATCAACTTCTACTACCTATTTCCTCTTCTCTCTCTTCTCCATACCCCTTCTCTTGGATAGGGCCATGTCCTTGTCGTTACTTCCCCCCGTGTCCTCGCCCATGCCGTGGCTATCCATATCAGCGAGGGATCTCTTCTGTGTGACGCCCCAAAGTATAGAGGTCCTTCCAGGGCTGATCCTCCTGCCGTGGAGAGTACTAAAGTATCCTGTCTGAGGAGGAGTGAGAGAGAGGGGAGAGGAGGGAGACAAGAGAGAGGGGGGAGGAGAGAGACAAAGAGAGAGAGGGAGGATGAAGGAGAGAAAGAAAGAGAGGAGGGGAAGTGCACAGAGAGTTGGGAGGGAGAGAAGGAGAGAGAGGGGGAAGGAAGGGGGAAGAGAGAGCAATACCGTGAGAGCAGTTGTGTTTTAGAGTAGGAGATAAACTTTCTTTTTTTGTCGACGTGTTGTTGTTCATGACTGTGTGTGTGTGTGTGTGTGTGTGTGTGTGTGTGTGTGTGTGTGTGTGTGTGTGTGTGTGTGTTAAGTCGTGACCGAGAATGACTCTGCAGGTGATGGGGTGTGTTAAGCCGCAGCGGGAACGAGAAACATCCCTCACTGCTATAAGACATTCATCAGTGAGGTCAGGAGAGCACAACATTTGGCTGGGAAAACGAAGCCAAAACTTTTACTTCCTCGACCACATCCTCGACCATGGCCTCGACCACATCCTCGACCACATCCTCGACCATATCCTCGACCATGGCCAGGGTTCACCATCTTACAGTTAATAAACAAACAAGATTATAACCCGTATGTAGCCGCGACAGAAAACAACTTCCTGTAAAAACAAAATTGTACCCATTTTTAAGTTTTTTCCCTCACTCTTATTTTTTACCCACTTTTTTCCCCAAGATTTTTCCACTTGTCTCTCTACCAGATTTTTTATGCTCCTCATTTTTTTTTCCTTTGTCTCTTTATCGGAATTTTTTATGCCTCTGATTTTTTACCCCCCCTTTGTCTTTTTGGTCTCAATATTTTCCTGTATTTGGGATTTAGAAATTTTCCTTGAGATTTTTTTTCAAGTTTTAGTTTTTACGTCACTTTTTTAATGAAGGGGGTGAAGACAGGGGAAAGGGAGAGGGGAGGATAGAAGTTAAGGGAGGAAAGGGAAATGGATGGGAGCTAAAGGGAAGGATTGAATGTCAGGGAGCTTAGCAGTCAGAGGGAGTTTTGTTGAGGGGAATAGAAATTTAAGGTCAGGGAGATAAGAGAATGAATTGATTGGAGGTCGGGAATTGGAAAGCAGGGAGATTGGCTTTCAGGGAGGTTAATATAACTTGGTGTTTGGATGGCATAGAGACGAGGGAGATTAGAAAGGTGGAAGATTATAGCTCAGGGAGGTTAATATAACTTAGTGTTTGGAAGGCATAGAGACGAGGGAGATTAGAAAGGAGGAAGATTAGAGCTCAGGGAGGTTAATATAAGGTGGTGATTGGATGCCAGAGAAACGAGGGAGGGAGATTGGGAGAGCAGGAAGAATGGCTCTCAGGGGCGATTGGATGTCAGAGAGGTGTTATATTAAAACCTGGATGGATTATGAACTTTGACCTCACAGAAGACGTAAAGGAAAGTTTAATTAGAAAGGGGAGGAAGAAAGAATGGTTCATCGCCAAGGTCTCATTATTCTGCTTCTGTGTCTCGACTTACTCAGGCAGGGATGAAAAGGCAAGGAGTAACACTCAGTTGTGACTTGGAAAATAAAAATGAGATAAAAATATTGCCATCTTGTTCAACTCGGAAGTGACAAGTGAGGATTGACAATGTTGCTGAGAAAGACGAGAGGAAGACATAGGGAAGACTTAGAGAAACTATGTATTTTCTTGCTTGAGAAAGACTTAAATAAAACAAGGAAGCGACTGTACAAGAAAAGCTACAGAGACGTTTGGTGACAGCTGTTGATGTGGTAGGGTAGGTGGGGTAGGGAAGGGGGAGTGGTGACAGGGAGGGTGGTGATGGTGTTGGTAGGGGTGTTGGTGGGGGTGTTGGTGGGGGTGTTTGTTCTTGCAGCAGGAGTTATTGTGTAGCCCATGACCTGCTGTTGTCTGAAGGTAGACTTGTGAGGGAGTCAATGGTACACACTACAGTATATTGGCAAAACTACATTAGATGGATCACCGGCTAACACTGTATTGGTTACACCACTTGGATGTTAATTGATTGACGGATAAAGGGTGATAGTTTGCCAGTGCAGTTGGCGAGTTGTCATACAGCTCGTTAACTCAAAGTATAGTTGTTGTGTTGGTGACAGCTTCTATTTCATTGACACATTTCTGCCCAGGTGGCCTTTGTACACGAGGGGCTGCCACTGTTGTTATTATTATAATCATGATTCTTAACAGTGCGTAGTATAGTTCTGTTGAGAGGCTCGACGTCTCTCTCTCTCTCTCTCTCTCTCTCTCTCTCTCTCTCTCTCTCTCTCCGTTCACGTGTGTGTGTGTGTGTGTGTGTGTACGCTAGTGCCGTGTGAGTCAGCGGGGTAAGGCGTGAGCAACTTACAGTGCTGACGGATGAGTGTGGAGTGACAGCTTCTGCAATACCCAGTAAGATGTCGGTCGTTGCAAAAACCAGTACTCAGTGTTGTGCGGTGATGATGGCGATGGTGGTAATGATAGTGAATACGTTTATATTCTAATCCAATCTAGGTTAATTCTTTACTTGTACCTTGTGAAATGTATCAAGTCAGCATCTCATATTTCCGACTCAGAGGTTAAGTGACGTCATGTGAGGAAATTAGTGGTATGGAGTCTCGCTTTTCTATCTATTTTCAACTATTTTTCTCCCTCTCTAACTCTATTATCCTCGCTCTCATATTTCACTCGCTTTAACCTGGTTGGATGATTCGTCTCTCTCTCTCTCTCTCTCTCTCTCTCTCTCTCTCTCTCTCTCTCTCCCCCTCCATCTCATACACTGCCAGGTGAGATCTGCCAGGTTAAATAATCAAGGTACATAATCTCGCATTTTCACCTTGAGTCAGACATCATTACCTGTCAGAACAAATTCCCCCACTGGCTGGTTGGGTCCCGTCTCGAATATTACTCATAGATCGTTATTGCCAGCGCCTCCGGTTACCTGATCTACAACCGGCTCCCTTCGTTATAGGAAGTTGTTTTCGTGGTATTTAATGTCTCTATGATGACCAAGACTGTCAGGGGCCACATGGGGAGGAGGGAGAGGGGCCAAGGGTCGTCAAGATGTGTTGGTCGTGGTTCCTCCGCTTTGGGCGCCAAATCTCGTGGGTGTTTCTGGGTCGTGTCTTGTTGTTTCTCTTTGTAGCTCTGCCTTTATTGTTTCGTCTCTCTACATTTGTTCGTCTTCCCGTCACCTTTTTGTCTGTCTGTCTCTCTGGCTGTAGCTTAGCTTCTTCTTCTTTCTTCTTCTTCTTCTACTCAACCCCACTTAGCATTTCTTTCACTTCTTAACACCCCCTACCCATGGCGCCCTACTCAACACCTTGCTAACCCACCATCCACCCCCCACCCTCACCCATTTCCCGAATGTCACCTTGGACACGGCATCATCTTCATACAATTTTGTCTTCCTCCCCACCACCCTCCCACATCCTCCTCTTCCCCCACCATTCCTACCATATCCTCCCTCACCACCCTTCCACTACCTCACCCCACTACCCTCCAACAATCTCAACCCACCACCTTCCACATCCCCCCCACCCTCCTACATCCCCTCACCACCTTTCCACATCCTGCCCACCACCCCCACTATCACCCCCAGCACCTCCCACTATCACTCCCAGCATTCCCTCCCTACCCCCACCACCCCCCACTTCCTCATTCATCTGTCAACGAAGACCGAGGACAAATCTACATATTATGAACTCGTTGATGATGAATACCTTATTACGTGATCATCAGAACCTACAGAGCCTCAAGGAACATCTCAGCTCCTTGCTTCTCTCTGTCGTTGTATCTACACGTTTCACATACACCCCTGACTAGGTTACCGGGGGGGTGGGGGTATGGAGGAGGAGGAGGATGGCAAGAGAAAACAAGTTAGGGAAGAAAGGGGGAAGAGGAAACCAGGTTGATAGAAGGAGGACGAGGGTCGGAGAGAGGGAGGGAAAGGAGGAGGGGGGGTAGAGGAAAGAAAACCAAATTGAGGAGGAGGAAGGACTAAGAGAGGAAAGATCTAACGGTGTTCGTTTACACAGTCATTACCAACTGAACCTAGACTCAGTATCTTACTTACTCTGACACCTTATAACTGAAGGTCTTGGCTCTCACTCTTGACGTCTCCGGATGGTGTGTGTGTGTGTGTGTAGTAACAGAAATGTCATCATCACACGTCAGAACAGCTGCCAAAAACTATGAAAGATATCTATAGTCTCGCCATGTAGATGAAGAACCAGACAACGTGATGATAAAGAATATAGAGAGAGAGAGAGATATGTGATGAAAAAGATGTGTAGAAGAGACGAGAATAACCAGAAGGAGAGGCAAAGGACTGATAATTATGGGAGAAGATAAAGTAGAGGGAGATAAACAACAAGGAGAAATATGATAAAAGTGGATACAAGAGAGAAGAGAATGACAAAGAGAGGGAACATGGGACAGACAAGAAGACCCAGGCGACTCACGACCCCCAACAAGACTAATGATGACGATGGATGGAGAGGAAGGGGGTTTATTATTGTTTTAGGTTTAATGTGTGTTGTCTATTGCGGTTTAAACCATAATCTTGGTTTTAATCAGTTCAGTCTTCATCATATTTCACCTGAGCCATGGGATTTTTAAAGGGGGTGTAGGTGTTGTGGCGTAAAGTAAATCTTGTGGCGTACGGAGGGACCAGCACACACACACACACACACACACACACACACACACACACACACACACACACACACACACACACACTTATCTTGGGAAATATTCTTCTTAGTGACTGTTATGTTAGTGATTGTAGGGCGGTGGGTGCGTCGTTGAGTGTAGTGTGTTATACGATTGAGTGCGTTGGGTGCGTGGTTGAATGGGCCAGGTCGCAGGGTACGTGAGGTGGAGGAGTATCCCAGTGACTCGTGATGATCTTTAGCGTAGAGGGGGGAGAAGAGGTGAAGGGGCGGGGGGTGGGGGATGGATTGAAGGACTGGGAGAAGAGTTGACGGTAAGGGAGCTGTGGTGAGAAGAGGTGAGGTAGGGGTGGTGGGGAGCTGATAGAGGGGTGGGGGGAGAAGTTGAGGTGGTGGGGAGGGAAGACAGAGAGGGGTTGGTAGACGGATGGGGGATGGAGTGGAGATTGAAAGGCCAGAATGAATATTTTCTAATTTACATTAACCTAAATTAACTCCAAAATAACCGAACATAAAATTATCCTAACTAACATACTGAACCTAACAAGGAACCTTACCTAATTAATACTAAATTTAAATACCACTAACCTAACCTAACCCATTCTAACTAACTTAACCTAACCTAATCCAACATAAACAAACGTAAAAACATTTTCCTCTTTCATTTTACTACGTGTTTGAACTACCAGAATTACTGTCACCGTTTGATAAGGTTAGGTTAAACTAGTTAGGTTAAGTTGACAGAAGTTGAGTTAGGTTACGTTAACTTTGGTTAGATTGACCAAGGTTAAGTCAGATATTGATCACATAAACACTGGATTAAACTAGGTTATATTAAGGTTTTCTTATTACAGTTAGATGTCTTTCCTCTACACATGTTGCAATTAACCTTAACTCTAGGGTGACTGCTCGTCTGATTTAACTACCAGCTTCCTGTTAAAACATCCTCTCCTCTCTAATATATTTCCCTTTGTTTCTTCTTCTTCTTCTGTTGTTCCTTCTTTTTCTTTTTCTTTATTATATCTTTCATCTCTTCTTCTTTATCTGTTCTGTCATCTTATTGGGGGGGGGGGGTGTCATAGGTGACAGTCACTCACTAACTAAACAATTGGCTGAAGAAGTCTGGTGTTATTCCGTTTTCTTTGATACTATCCCGTTTTCTTTGGTGCTATATAATTTTCATTGATATTATTCCGTTTTCTTTTGTTCTATTCCGTTTTCTTTGGTACGATTTCGGTTTTTTTATGTCTCTGGTTCCTCATTTTTGCCTTTTCTACTATAACCTGAACCCATTTCTAGCATTATCACCCACTTTAAGCAGTTCCAATTACACTAATCCTCCCCTTCTTTCCCCATTTCATTTCCTTTCTTTTTTCTCTTCTCTTTTCTTTTCTTTGTTATTCTACTTCTTTTTAACTCACCTTTCGTATCATTATCACCCATTATCATCACTTCTCATTTTCTATCGATTTCCTCTTCCATTTTCTTTATCGCATCCACCTCCATTTTCTAAGTTTTACCACTTCCCCATTTTCTATTTCAGCACATCCCACCATTTTCTCAAACTTACGTTCACTTGGCGACTTATATACGGTCTTCGTTTCAGAGAAGGAAAACCAGTATATAGAGGTCGTGATGTCTGTCTCTCATAGAAGTTGTTGTTGTTGCGTATAATGTGCCCTTTTTAACTTCTTAGGTAAGCTTCTGTTAAAATTTAAACAAGTTGTGGTCTTAAAGTGTGCCGTAAAGGGGGTGTGAGGCTTGGGTGTTGTAAAGTGTGTGTGTGTGTGTGTGTGTGTGTGTGTGTGTGTGTGTGTGTGTGTGTGTGTTAAGTGTGTCGTAAGTGTGTGTAGAATGGATGTTATAATTGTAGTATGTAAAGTAGATGTTGTTTTGAAAGTATATTGCAGAGTATGTAAAGTATTGTTATTAAGTGAGTAAAATAATAGTTGCAAAATGTATAAAGTAGGCATTGTAAAGTGTAAGTATTGTTGCATCTATATGTTTTACTTTACATTTATAAGTAGTTGTAAAATGTATTCAGTGTTGTGTTCTATAGTGTAATATGTACGTCAAAATAATGGTAATAAGTGTAAATGTTGCTTTAAAATGTAATTAAGTGTTGTATAATTTTAAGTAGTAAGTGTAATTGTAAAGTAAATGTGTGAAAGCATAAGTAGAGTTTTAAAATGTAAGTGTTGCTGTTTTTAGTTGTTGTTCGGTAGTCCCAGGAGGAGGAAAACGAAAAAAAAAATATACGAGAAATAAGTAAGAATACAGATATAAGTAGAATGTTTACAAGCTTAAATACTGTTACTAATACAGAAGTGACTTGTTTTTTTACATTTCGTTATTAATACGTGGAATGAACAGAGCGAGTTTACATAAATACTCACAGTGTTTTATAATAAGTTCATGTGTTCTTGATGTAGGGAGGGTGAATGTAAGTGTGTTTACATATCGTATTTAATTAATGTACCACGTTCTATCATTCCTCAGTGAAAACAATTACGGATCTGTGGTTGAAATGTTGATAATAATTAATTGTCTTATTGGTATCCTAGGTTATGATGTTTGGGTAATTAATTTTGCTAATTGATTTGAGGCTATTTAATAATTATCAGAATTTATTCTTTTTGATCCTAGATTCTTAAGGAAAAAATATCCCCATATGGTACAACGTTCAAGACCTTTTTTTCCTGCGTGACTTTTTTCCCTGTCATCTTTGGGAAAAAACTTTGGTTCCTCCCGATGGCTTTTCTATATTGCTCTCTCTCTCTCTCTCTCAGTTGTTTACTTATCTGGCACCGGCCCTGGGAAACAGAGCTGTGTGTGTGGTGCTGGTCAAATACACAGTGGCATGCTTCTGTAAATATGGTGTGATGTAGTAGTGGTGGTAAGTGATGGTGGTAGATGTGGTGATGGTGGTAGTGATAGTGATGGTAGATATGGTGGATATTAAAGAAGGTTTGGATTATTTTTCTCTGAGTTTTGTAGACGATGTTAGCTCACACACACACACACACACACACACACACACACACACACACACACACACACACACACACACACATGTATGTCTCTTACCCTTAATAAAATAAAAGCATCACTACATAGAGGATTGGCGTACGTTCGTCTGACTCTACTTGTGGGAGAGAAATTCTGACGGTGATTTCACGAGGCAGGGAGCCATAGTATTAGACAGATGGTCCCCTACACCCCCTAGGAGCTCATACATAATCACAAACAGGAAATTTACTCAGAAATATGAACACAAATGCAGCCTTAAGTATACGGTACATGTGTAGTGATTCCCATGGGGTGACACAATCATAGAGGCAGTGGCTAAACCCAGATATAGTTATAAATGTGTCTGAAGCCTTATAGACGCTGTAATGTCTTTATACAATGCAGGTGCAGTAACTCCCCTAAACAAGGTGTGGGTGTAAGTTACTGGCCCTTGTCGTCTCCACATAGTAATGCCCTCAGGAGGTTGTTAACCCTCACGCCCTTGGTGTTCACAGTACGCCAGCATGAGTGAGTCATCAACCACGCCCACTACGCCCGAGGGGGAGCCCTCCGACGCCCACGACACCCCCGCACCCGGCCTCACCACGCCCACCACCCCACACACCTCAGTCAAGGTGAAGATTGTGAAGATTATTGGTCTTCACACTTTTTACAAAACCAGTATTGTTACCGCCATCATTGTTGTCAACAGTATATATATATATATATATATATATATATATATATATATATATATATATATATATATATATATATATATATATATATATATATATATATATATATATATACTAAGTGGCTCCCAATAGCACTTGTATTCACTGACACACCTAAATAATACCTGGTAAGTGTTACCCCCACATACTATATCTCTCTTATTTTCAGAATTATTAGTTGCCTTTACATCTTTACATATCACTCTCTCCCTTCTCCTCACTATAACTTACTTGATCTACTCGGTAAAGAAACACAGAGACGAGTTATTAACAAGATTATCCACCATAGGGAAGCCCTCTTATGAATTATCTCCCAGGGCAGCTCGTAGATTATCGAGCGTAATAAGGCAACTTCCTTCATAAAGTGTGTCCCTGTGGATAACTCGTAATACTATCAGGGAAGGAGCATTGATTTAGCTCTTCAATTATCCTAACAGTCGACGTCGCCAGAAGTAGATTACTAACTCAATATCCGATGACTTTTGATGATTACTGTAATTCTCGTTCTGTATGTGTGTGTGTGTGTGTGTGTGTGTGTGTATGTGTGTGTGTGTGTGTGTGTGTGTGTGTATGTGTGTGTGTGTGTGTAAGGGGAAGGAGTTTTAGGGTAACTCTTTTATCTCTCGTACTTGGTGTCTAACATATACAAAATTGCTTCTTTCTATCTGTGTGATGCCGAGGAGACCATTACATAACAAGGCTCTTATCCTTACTTGTTTATATATCTAATATTTATCATTGTAATTTCTCTTTTATTTCCTTAATCAAGAATAAGACGCCAGTGAGTTTATAATTTACAAGTGGCTGAGAAACTATATTAGGATGAGATGAAGATAAGACACCCCAGGTTAATTCATCTGAAGATTAACTATTCTAACGTTACCTGGGAGGCTTAATTTAGGTTAGGTTAAGGTAAGGTAGGTTAGGTTAGATTAAGTTAGGTTAGAGTGTTTAATCTTTATTTGAAATAAGCTCGGATGACTAATCTTCGGGTGGTATTTATTTTTTCTTCGTATTTTAAGAATTGATCGAGTTTCCAGGTCCGAATATTTGTGTCATTAACAAAATTATATTCGTTAATTCATCGGAGTATTGGCATTAAAAAAATCAATTCTTCCTTCTTTACTTCCTTAATAGGCTGACAGCGGCATCTCCACCACCACCCCGCAGACAGCGACGCCTGAGGACGTCCCTGTGGCTGACAGCCCCAACACCAATACCCCAACAGACAGCCAGCCAACAGAAACTGAAGCAACAGACAGCAGCAGCACACAGACCAGCGTCCTTCAGGGTTACGTTATGGTGCCTATCCTCACTCCGTACTACGATCCTTCAGGTGAGTGTTGATGACAGATAGACGCACAGACAGACACAGACATACACACAGAAAGACAGACAGACACATATACAGACACACAAACACCCTGATATAATACACACAGAAAAAACACACTAGCACCATAGACAGACAGACAGACAGGCGTACAGATAGATCCAAAGACACACACTGACAGACACACTGACAGTGAAACAGATTAAGGCTAAAATTGAGTGAAATTTTATATTAAGACATGTAATCACAGGAGACAGAGCTGAGGTACCAAGGACATAGATGAAATGAGGAGAGAGAGAGAATATGACATCAAGAGAGTGAAAAATAATAAAGAGTTTGATAGCAAGAGAGACAAAGAGTGACGGAGGAAGGGTTCTACAATTTTTACATAAACAAAGAAACACACACTCACCGATGACACCTGAATACGGACTGGCGTGTTGGACATTAAAAAAAAAAAACATCACGGTATAGAAAAGACGCAGCCATGTCAAGTTTCTACAAAAAAAAGAAGGTAGGGAGACTCGTGCTAAACTACCCGTGTCACAGGAGGTACACGCCCGCCCGCCCCTGTGTCTGGTCTGTGTCCATGGTGACTACAGTGGACAAAAGTGTTAAATATTCATCTTTTGTCGCAGTGCTGCAGGTTGTGATGTGGGGGGGAGGTGTGGAGGGTGAGTGATGAAGATGGTGATAATTATTTGGAGGAGGAAGAGGGGGGAGGACTAGGAGGGGGGGGTGAGCGAGAAGAGGAAGGAAATAGTTGTGGTTAATGAGTTGTAGATAGAAGAAAAAGCGAAGAGAAGAAAGGGAGAGAATTAGTCGTGTGGAAGGAGAGACAGAAGAGGAAGGATGAGGACCTGGTGGAGTGGGAGAAAGGTGAGGAGGATAGGGGTAGCAACCTCTCTCGCGTAATGTAGATTTTACTGTCCCCGTTCATATTTTATTCAGACTTCATCTAGTTTGGTGAAGGAGATTTTTTAGGCAAAATTTAGGGCGAGCAAGAATATGCATGACTTAATCTTTGTGATGGACTGACTGCATGTGGGTTGGTGGGACTTGGCACGGCGGGGAAGGATAAATTAAAGTAGTAGATGTGGGCAAGGTCAAATTATCGAGATCAACAGTATTTTCATTAATAGCTACATTGACACATGCAACGGTTTTGTAACCTATAAACCATAAGTGAATCGCTGTAATACATCGTTGAGCTATGAATGGCTGAGAGTATAAAGGTGCTTCCCCGGGTCGTGTTGTAGAGTTGCCACCGCCGCCTACCTGGTACTGTGTTCATTTATATGTTCTGTGCAATATATAGTATTACCTCGGAAATGACCAGAGGCTAGGTTGGTTTTGTCGTGTGTGTGTGTGTGTGCATGAGAGACAAAGTGTGTGTTTTGCAGATTTGTGAAGTATGGACGTGGCTGTTATTGCTAATGGAGGTCACACGGTTCAGTGGCCTGGCGACGCTAGTGGATGATTCTTCAGTATTTCTTATATACGTTCATTTATATATCATTCTAAATCGACTTGAAAACAAATTCTGTCTTGAGTAGGCGTACGTTCATTACCGCTATCCAAGCTGACATCACGCCTAACGAACCCGAAATAAGGTTGTTTCTGTTCTTTAAAATTTGGTACCAGGAGTGAATCTCTATATTTTGGCGATTTTCGAAAATGGTAAGACACAGAGCAATACTCAAGGAACGACGAAGAAAGATGGTGGTAGCGTTCGTACGATATGTCCATGTTGGGTTTTATTTTGGGGCTGAGAAGCGCACGGCCATTATATACATCACTGTCTCTTGCTCTAGTCTGGGATTAAGTTGCAACACACATTCAGATTTTCCTATTTTTAACCCGAATTGTATACAAGGTGACGAGGTTTTACTTGCGGACGGTACATTGTTTTCCTTTAATGTTAACCCTCCGTGTAAATTTAACAGATTGTATCTTGATATCAAAGAAATTGTTAATATGACATTCGCTGCTGGAGAATTTGTCAACTGGCAACACTTTTAATGCTTACGAAATTTACAATGTCAGTACTCTGAAGGATTAACGATTAAGGAGATGAACGGGGTAATGGCAGCGTAGCTAGTCCTGGCTAGGTCAAGAAGTTTATTTAATAACTGTAAATATTGTTTTATTCTGATATATTTAAAGGTGCGAGTACATTATAAAAACATATGGTTGTCTCAAAACTAAACATCGAACAACAGTGTGCATTTTTTTTTACCACGGGATAGAAGTTGTACTACTGAGGTAAAACATACGCATTGTTTATTTGCTTCGAAATTCAGTAATCTGTAGTCGTGGGTGCTTGAATCGTATTAGAACGAAAAAAAGGGGAAATTTCAAGAATAGATGTAGTTATTTTTTTTAGGCTTGATATGAGTTAAAATGTGCCAACAAGTAGTGAAGTGGCAAGGTGGGTAGTTCTCTTTTGGTGTTGAAGATAAAAGTTGTTTGTGTGGTGAGAGGACTCGTGTAGCCTAGCATCTTATCTGTTTCGAGTGACCGTGGGAGAGCCCTTGATACTGAAGACCCGCTCTCTGTCTCCCTCTACTCACAGTGGAGAGGGAGGGAGGAATGACGAGATCACTGCCGCTCTCCTTCTCCCCTTCCGTTTTTCTCGCACTTCTCACTTTCATCACTTTCCCTGCGTCCTGTTTTCTTTCCATTCGTTCTCCTTCACTCCCTTTTCATTTATCGCTCCTGAAATATTTTAAATTTATTCCTTGTTTACTTTTCGTTCGTTTTCTTTCCACTTTCATTTGTGTATTTTCTTTCTCCTCACATTCCTTGTCTTCCTCTCCCCATTTGTACTACGAGGGATCTTTGTGAACAGTACCTGTTTTATGAACTACTTTTTAGTTACGTCACCCAGCTGTATGAATAGCAGTCCTGTTGATTGATAGGCCAACTCAGTGACGCACCAATTCTTAAGTTTTCCTTGTCTGGTCTATTCATTGTCATTGGTTTGTTTTTATAAGTTCTGTAAAGTTTTCAAAGTGTATCATTGTCGTGTTGCTTTTCATGAGATGTTTGAATGTTTAACCCACTGTTTGTCGTTTATTTTTGGTGTTTTCCTTTTGAACTTTATGATGCGATAACTCAACTGCCTTATGGCGAAGATTTTATACGGTATTTGGTAATTTTTTTCTATTGATTTATTTCACATGACATTGAATCGAATGTCTTTTGTTCTTAGAAAATATGGGCGACGTCAAGATGTATTTCACCTGGCTAGAAACAAAGTAAAACACATGGGTGGGTGGATGGGAGAATGAGTGGGGGAGGTTGGTGACTCAAGTGTGGTTTTTGTAGCTCGGGATTTTCTTTTCTTTTGACAGGAATAAACATAGAATAGACTGAACGAGATGAGACAACCGATACGAAGACTTGGCACAGAGGCTAGGAAGATGGGGGTGGTGGGTGCTATGCCCCCCCCCTCCCCCCAACCCAATATCTAACCCTCCTCGTCTCCACCCACCCCTTCAACCCCTCCATATTACCCCTAACAGATAAAAGGGCGTCGAGGGAGGATAAGAGGGGTGAGCACACGTCTTGGAGCTGTTTGAGGAAGGGAGGATGAATATACAGTATTGCGGTGTTACGTGTTAAAGGGCTTGGTTATATATTATTTGTAGTGCCACGTGTTATAAGGATCTGATAAATGTAATACCACATGTGTTAAGGATCATCTGAGTCTGACACCATGATACAAAATCACAATGTATTTTGGTAGTATGTGTCTGGGAATGAGTCGTCACTAAGCTCTCCACTGCTTTTTGAGGATATGCCAAGTCGCGATTATCATTTGATTGACATACAACGTCTAGCTTTAGAATCAGGAGCTGTGTTTTGTATTAGAGCACAGAGTAATATAGTGGGATATTTAATGTCGGGGAAAGTCAAAGGCCCAGGTATCCTAGTTGTTGCTATGAAGTAAGGAAGGAACTGTTGTACTCGTCCGGAAAAAATCTCACCATTGCACTGGCTTGGGTAGTACGTATACTAAATATATAGAGTAATGTTAAAGGCGTAGTCACATCAGGTCATTCTTTTAAGCCTTAGTGACTTGTTAGTTTAAGCTGTGTGTAGCATCTGTTCGCCCTCACGCTGACGTAGTGTTTTAACCTATACATCTCTTAAGGTTTAGGTTGTACTTACTTTTGTATTCATCTTCTTCATCTCGTACATTGGTTGATATATTTTCAGGAGAGACTTGTGGACTAATTACTGTCCTTCAAGTTATCCTCTCGACGGCGTTATCGTAGTTGAGCTGCAGTTAAGAGTTTGGTTTGGGACATTTTTGCATGAGGCTCGTAGTTCAGTATATTGTGAAAATTATTAATTCAACGTGAAGGCCAACTGCGTAAGTACATTTATGATTATGTATGGTTTCACGATAATAACAATCAGTTACAGTACAGATTTTAAGAGAAGTTAATATTTTATAATGAATATTTACCGTATATTCTGTGATCTCAGCCCCCCTATTGTGTGATAAACGTATCAGCTAGTCTTAAATATACTGGTGACAGAGCAGGAACAATCAGGGCTACGAATGGCTAAGTTGCTGAAGGCGCAGAATCACAATGAATCATATCAGTTCCAGTGGGGTGAAAAATACGGACGTCAGTGATCTTGTATGTCAAAATGAAATGAACTCTTCACCGTGTAAATGATTCCTCCACATTTAAGAGAAGGGAAAGCTCTCCTCAATTAATGTAGTACATAATTTAGCCGTCGTGTAGTGGTGGCGCCGTGGTGGGGAGGGTAGCATCATGGTGAGAGAAATAGGACCAATACTGTCCCGTGTTTACATTTTAGACACCAACTAATATGGCAGAACCTACCAAAATAAATGCCTGCAGACCCTCACAAAGAGATATCTTATCACCTGCACGCCATCTTTATGTTCTCGAGTAATATTAAAATCAAAGCTTCATTATTATTAATTAATTCTAGGGTATATATTGCTTGTTTCTTTTTAT